GAATGAATCTATAAAATATAAATTTTAAGTCAATATATGCATAATAGGGTAATAATAATAATAAAAGATATTTTTTATTTTTTTAAATTTTATTATTCTTTTATTACTCAATCTAATTTTTTATAGTGCACATTTTTTTTTGTTTTATCTTATTATATTTATTATATTTATATTATTTTATTAACTACAGTTGTTTTACAATTTTAGTTTGATGGAATTATTCTTACAAATTAATAAATAAATTAATAATAATTAATTATTAATATACTAATAAATTAATAATTAATTCGTAGTTTTCTAAGCGAATAACACACCGAGCAACAAACTTTTCGATTAAATGAGAGTTGTTGTGAATGAATTTCTTTGCGTAAGCTTCTTGCAGAGTGTTTACGTTCGCATTAATGAGCCGACGTTAAATATATCCGACATAAATAATAAGCAGGTTCGATAGTGACGAGCATTGAATACATTGGCTTTTAAAGATCTCTCGTGCCATTACAGGGAATCGAGACAGCTGAATAGATTTATATATCGTTGTATACTCGATTCTCTGAACCCAGTCAGTCACTACTGTTATATAGTCGCCGTTTCATCTACCATACTTACGCACGTGGCTCACCGTGTAGAGCTCTAGACTTCTAGACAGTAATAGCCGACGGCCAAGTTTCACGATTCCTCGTAAGTCGAGACACGTTCGCATTTCCCGTGACAGAGATCGAATTAACGTATCACCCGAGCTCGTTCGCTCGTGCGAGTGACCGCGCACGGCTTGACTTTTTCCATTTCCTTTTTCCTTAAAGTCATCTAGGAAAGAGATAGCAGCTTGTCATTAACGTACTACCCATGGTATAAATATATGTTTACACCATGGTACTACCCTACGATCGGGTAATCGTTTTTGCAGAAAATTGCGATGTTCACTTAGAGCTCGTTGCGTTGCGAGGGTACGTTTGTATGTACCCAACATGGATAGACATACAAAACAGTGTATAGGTACCCTCAACAACTGGTTCACTGATTGATTCATGATCAAGCACTAGTGCAATTACGATTTACATGCCTTTACAATTAGTCCTGAGCTGTTAATATAGAAACTTTTCAACAACTATTGTGCTTTAATTATTGTTCATTTTGTAATGCAACTTTCACGAGTAACGATTTATTAAAAAATGATTAATAATGATTGGAGCGAAAAATGTAACTATATAAGAAAAATGTATATTTTATAAATTTGTTTATTAAATTAAATAAACGCTGTTAAATACATTTGTTTTTGTAATCTTTTAGGCATATAATATCTTTTAAGGAATATAAAATACAATATGATATTTTTTTTCAGAGGGTCAAAGAAAGGCCAATTTTGAGGAATACGATGCAAAGAAACGTGAAAACGCTCAAAAAATTTCTGATCTCAAGAAGAAAGTTAAAGAACTTTACGTCAAATATGCGAGAGCAAAAAATGTAACGTGGGTTGTCAAAAGAAGAAAGACAGATCAAATGAAAGGTATACAGGGAAAAAATGATCAATGTCCATCTAGAGTAATGGAGTAATGTTGGACTCTAATGATTCTTCCTCACAAGCGCGTATAGACTATGCGTTTTTCAGCACACACCTTTCGACCTTATTTCCAATGAATTGTGACTGTCCTTGATCAAAACAGATAAGAATTATGACAGTTCTTTGAAAATTCCACAAGATAGATGAGATCAATTTCGATAAAAGTTTGATCGTTTTTCTCTTATACCTTTTAATTAGTTTTACCCTTCAATTAGTTTTTACGAACTAATGTTAAATCTTTTAGAATAAAGAAGCGATGGACCGCGCGGCTCTGCTCAGCCGCGATTCTATAGCTTGCGTAAACAAATGCAATTTGGAAGAAATTATAAACACGGCAAGTGAGAACAACGTGCGTCTAAGAAAGAAGCTGGATTTAATTAAATATGAAAAAGAGAAGGTGAGTAAGTACATATGTATGTCTCGAGGTATGACAGACGACGATGTGTGAAATGTCTTAACATCTGCATCCTATTAGCATGAACGTACCTTGAACATTTTGCAAACAGAAAGTAAAGAACTGGCGCATAGGCGCGGTCATTGCGTGTTCAAAAAGAAGACGGAAAATCCTATGAAGAAGGTAATTTAATCTAAAATTCACGATATGTGTCTCATAAGTGATACACTTTTACAAATGCATTCTTGGGTTTGCGCAGAAGATCGAGACTTTGGAAGTACAGCTGGAGCATATCCGAATGATGCAAATTAAGGCAAATATCGCGCGCATGAAATACCGTTCCGTTTGCTCCGAGTTAAAAGAGAAATCAGTCTTTTACGCTTCTTCCTTGAAAGATTTGGAAGACGGCATAAAGCAACAGGAAAACGAGATCAAGCGCTTACAGGCAAGGGCACGAAGAGAGTAAAAGCTAATAATGACGCGAAGAGAATAATAGAAAAGCTTTTAATGCCATTGTTGATTGCAGGGAGTGAAGGAAGAAGCTATAGAACTGAAAGACAGCACTCAAGAGACACTGGTGAAAGAGGAAATCGAGGAAACAAATTCCAGCAAAAAACGCGACTCTGTCATCAAGGAGTATAGGTCAGGTATATTAAGCTAAAAAGAAAGCTTAAAAAGCCCTTCGTAATAGCCCTTTTTAATAGCTGGAGCAAAAAAATTACTTTTAAAAGAAAAAAATAGCAAATAATTAGCAAATTAATTCCATATAAAATTTTTTGTGTTCTGATAATTTGGCTTAGATAGCTTAATATACCTGTATAGGTCCACGAATGATAGCTTAATATTTCAAAAATTATCTTTCTATTGCGGACCCTGTTGCAACCGCAACTTCTTCTAATCACAGTTCTGTTAACAATAGACTTACCAGTTAACAATAAATAATAACAAAATTTTTTCCTGATAACACATCGCAAGTATAATTTGATATTTGACATTTTTGCGTAATCAGGCAGCGCGTGTCGGACCGAAAGATGGAATTGGAGCGGTTGGAGCGCATGATATTCCAAACCCGTCCGCGTGATGATTTCGAAACACGTGGGAAAAGTCGTGTACAGATACAAGAGGACATGATCAAGGACGAGCTGGCGCGTCTGGAGGAGGCGTTCGCCAAGTTGCGGAGCGCCACCGGAGTGTCCAGGTCCGAGGAAGTTTTGAACCGGTTTCTGGGTCAACAGGCGACCAAAGAGAGTCTGCAGAAAATGCGAACGGCCACGGAACAGGAGAAGATGGAGTTGGAAAAGAAGAGACAGGAGCTCAACGTCGAGATAGAGACAAGAAAATTTTCAGAAACGAAGAGTGCCGAACAGTTAGTTTTCGAGAGAACAATAATTGATTGCGAGTTTGTTAAACATCTGTTAAATAGATCTATTAATTTAATTTAATCTATTAACATAAAGAGAAATCATTAAAATGGTGTGATTTGAATCCATAATTTATAAGACATACTTTAATTTACAAAATATAAATTGAAAAGCTCACTTTTCCTCAGAATTTCACATTTGCATGAAAAAATCCGCTTTTAAATAGGTTCTATATGTTATAACGACTGTAAAACTGATTACTTAAATTATAGGTTTGATCCCATCACATTCTAAATATTTCAGAAACGCAGAAGTAACGGCAAAACTCAACTCGCAAATCGATGAACAGCGATCTCGCAAGGAGAGAGCTGAGAGTGCAAGTCGACGAATCCGCGAGCTCTTAAATGAAGTAACTGGTATACTGTACAAACTATGTGAGAAGTTCCAGGTGAGAGTTATTAATTATAAGTTCGTGGACGACACAGTCCAGAAGGATTGACAGCCCAAGACAGATCCCGTGTTTAGAAAGGCCCCACGCTCACCGATTTACATATCAGAAAAAAACTGGACAATTTCTTCAAATAAGTCACTCCAAAGTATTTAAGATAGCATTTCTGGTAATATCTTATTTTTTATAATATGCGTGATTCGAAAAGTGTTTAATTAGGATAAGAAATAATACCGTTTCCTAACGATGCGATTACATAAGATCTCACAATTCTTTAGGCGATTCTGATATAATTTTGTAAGTTCGAAAACTATTGGTGCTAGGAGAATGAAGATAAACAAAAATGAGTTCAGATTTGAAAATCGATTGAAATCGCGCGATAATTAGCAAGATAAAAGTAATGACAAAGGAGTATTGACCGAATGGTCAATTCTCAAAGTAGAGAAGGATCTTAATTAACGCTTTTCCTTGCGCGTTAAGCACGCAACGTGTCCCTACGAATTATCACGTACGAACGAACATATTCGGTGGATAAAGCTTCGTAATGTCGAAATGGAAGTGCCGTGTATGCGCCTAATTAAATTAGTAAAACCGTCTTTAGTGGTGTCTGACTGGTGTACCTTTAGTGGTGAACATCTTCGACTATTTATTGTTCCTGGAAGCTTCGACACCCCTAGCATTACCCATCTG